CAAGCGCATATATCGTCGTATATACTGACGCTTCACTGGGGAATATTGCCCACTTCACACTATCACTACTGGAACTAGTTTGAAGAGCTTGTAAGTTCATATTCAGTTTTTAAAAAAAAAAAAATTCTATCACTACATCACCCCATGCTCTCATCTGATCGGGATTGGGAAAATAAAATTTTCCCTCTTGGGTTCTGGAACAACTGGAACGTGAACAAGAGGGCCAGCACCAGAGGTGGAAGGCTGAGGTTCGTCTGGGTTTCCTCACTATTTACCGATATATGGTCATTAGTTTCGGTCTAAACCTCACTAATACCACGAAAAAAAACTCCATCTTCACTGGCACTTCCAAGCACTAGTAGAACTGTCACTGGGGAACAAAAGTGTCCCAATTCGCCGAGGAGTGAGGACCTTCTTACCGCGAGCATGGTGGACAATTGTTTTCTAAGAGGAGAGGGGCATTCCCCACAATGCACCACTGGGTCCCAGATTTTTTTTCTACCGCGCACACCGACCACGAAGACCCATTCTCTCACACCTAGGCCTACCAGCCTTTTCGCGCGAGATTTGAGGCCGCTAGAATTTATGCGTACTAGTACGTCAAAAACCCCTACGCGTAAGACGTACTAGTACAACCAAAACCCTCAAAGGGTTAAAAAGGGGATAAGAAAAGCTAAAAGGGACTATGAAATTAAAGTTGCTAAGGATTCTAAAACTAACCCAAAAAGTTTTTTCCAGGTCTATAGAACAAAAGTTAGAGATAAGATAAGTCCCCTTAAAAATAACTATGGGCACCTTACTGACAAAGAGAACGAAATGTGCTCGATTTTAAATAATTATTTTCTCTCAGTTTTTACAAAGGAAGACACTAACAATATTCCAGTAATTAATTTTTATAGTGGGCTAGAAGAAGATAAATTATGTAACATCACAGTCACTAGTGAAATGGTGTGAAGCAATAGACAGACTGAAGCAAAAAAAAGTCGCCGGGTCCTGATGAGGTTTTTTTCAAGGGTTCTTAAGGAATGCAAAATGGAACTCTGTGAACCATTAACTAATATTTTTAATTTATCTCTTCAAACAGGTGTAGTGTCTGATATGTGGAAGATGGCTAATGTAATTCCTATTTTTAAAACAGGGGACAAGTCGTTACCGTCAAATTACCGCCCAATAAGCCTGACCTCAATTGTAGGCAAATTACTAGAGTCAATTATAGCTGAGATTAAAAGAAGCCATTTCGATAAGCATAGCTTAAGGATACTCAGCATGGATTCACAAGAGGCCAGTCTTGTCTAACTAATTTATTAACTTTCTTCAGTAAAGCTTTTGAGGCTGTTGACCACGATAAAGAATTTGATATTATTTACTTAGATTTTAGTAAGGCTTTTGATAGAGTTCCGCACCATAGACTGTTAAAGAAAGTGGCAGCTCATGGCATTGGGGGAAAAGTGCTCTCGTGAATCTAGTCATGGCTCACTGACAGGAAGCAGAGTGTGTCCATAAATGGGGTTAAATCCGAGTGGGGATCTGTAACAAATGGCGTTCCACAGGGATCAGTCTTGGGCCCGTTGTTGTTTATAATATATATCAATGATCTTGATGAGGGAATTACTAGTGATATGAGCAAATTTGCCGATGACACAAAGATAGGTAGGATAATTGATTCAAACGTAGATGTTATGGAACTTCAGGAGGATTTAAACAAACTCTATTCTTGGTCAGAAAAGTGGCAGATGCAGTTCAATGTAGATAAATGCAAGGTTCTGAAGCTTGAGAGTGCCCATAACCCTAGTACTTATAAGTTAAATGATGTAGAACTTAGCCATACAGATTGCAAAAAGGACTTGGGGGTTACGGTGAGCAGCAACCTAAACCAAGACAGCAATGCCTAAGCGTACGTAATAAGGCAAATAGATTACTGGGATTTATATCAAGAAGTAAGCAACAGAAGTCCAGAGGTCATACTGCAGCTTTATACATCATTAGTAAGGCCTCACCTAGATTATGTAGCTCAGTTCTGGTCTCCATATTACAGAATGGACATAAATTCATTAGAAAACATTCAGCGTAGGATGACTAAATTAATACATAGCATTAGAAATCTTCCTTATGAAGAAAGATTGAAGACTCTTAAGTTACATTCACTTGTTAGACGAAGAATGAGGGGAGACCTGATCGAAGTGTATAAGTGGAAGATAGGTATTAATAAAGGGGATATTAATAAGGTCTTGAGGATGTCTCTCCAAGAGAGAACACACAGTAATGGATTTAAATTAGATAAGTTTAGATTTAGAAAGGACATAGGAAAGTATTGGTTAGGAATTAGGGTAGTTGATGAGTGGAACAGTCTACCTAGTTGGGTTATTGAGGCTGGGACTTTGGGTAGTTTCAAATTTAGGTTGGATAAGTACATGAGTGGGAGGGGTTGGATTTGAGTGGGACTTTCACATCAGAGCTTATTTCTTGTGTGGCATTGAAAATTGGGTTGGGCAAATGTTTTGTTAGTGGGATGAATTGTAAAGGACCTGCATAGTATGGGCCAACAGGCCTCCTGCAGTGTTCCTCATTTCTTATGTTCTTATGTTATCCTGGGTTACTATCCCTCCTGGTTGTCCTGGGTTACTACCCCTCCTTGTTATCCTGGTTACTATCCCTCCTTCTTATCCTGGGTTACTATCCCTTATGGTAATCCTGGGTTACTATCCCTCCTGGTTATTCTGGGTTACTATCCCTCCTAGTTATTCTGGGTTACTATCCCTCTTGGTTATCCTGGGTTACTATCCCTCCTGCTTATCCTGGGTTACTATCCCTCCTGGTTATCCTGGGTTATTATCCCTCCTTGCTATCCTGGGTTACTATCCCTCCTAAGTTAATATCCCTCCTGGTTATCCTGGGTTAGTATCCCTCCTTGTTATACTGGGTTACTATCCCTCCTGGTTATCCTGGGTTACTATCCCTCTTGGTTATCCTGGGTTACTATCCTTCATTATCCTGTGTTACTATCCCTCCTGGTTATCCTGGGTTACTATCCCTCCTTGTTATCCTGGGTTACTATCCCTCCTGGTTATCCTGGGTTACTACCCCTCCTGGTTATCCTGGGTTACTATCCCTCCTGGTTATCCTGGTTTACTATCCCTCCTGGTTGTCCTGGGTTACTCTCCCTCCTGGTTGTCCTGGGTTACTATCCTTCCTGGTTATCCGGGTTACTATCCTTCCTGGTTACCCTGGTTTACTATCCCTCTTGGTTATCCTGGCTTACTATCCCTCCTGGTTATACTGGCTTACTATCCCTCCTGGTTATCCTGGGTTACTATCCTCCCTGGTTATCCTGGGTTACTATCCCTCTTGGTTGTCCTGGGTTACTATCCTTCCTGGTTATCCTGGGTTACTATCCCTCCTGGTTATCCTGGGTTACTATCCCTCCTGGTTGTCCTGGGTTACTATCCCTCCTGGTTATCCTGGGTTACTATCCCTCCTGGTTATCCTGGGTTACTATCCTTCCTGGTTATCCTGGGTTACTATCCCTCCTGGTTATCCTGGGTTACTATCCCTCCTGGTTGTCCTGGGTTACTATCCCTCCTGGTTGTCCTGGGTTACTATCCTTCCTGGTTATCCTGGGTTACTATCCTTCCTTGTTATCCTGGGTAACTATCCCTCCTTGTTATCCTGGGTTACTATCCCTCCTGGTTACCTTGGGTTACTATCCCTCCTGCTTATCCTGGGTTATCCCTCCTGGTTATCCTGGGTTATCCCTCCTGGTTATCCTGGGTTACTATCCCTCCTGGTTATCCTGGGTTACTATCCCTCCTGGTTACCCTGGGTTACTATCGCTCCTGGTTATCCTGGGTTACTATCCCTCCTGGTTATCCTGGGTTAATATCCCTCCTGGTTATCCTGAGTTACTATCCCTCCTGGTTATCCTGGGTTACTATCCCTCCTGGTTATCCTGGGTTAGCATCCCTCCTGGTTATCCTGGGTTACTATCCCTCCTGGTTACCCTGGGTTACTATCCCTCCTGGTTATCCTGGGTTACTATCCCTCCTGGTTACCCTGGGTTACTATCGCTCCTGGTTATCTTGGGTTACTATCCCTCCTGGTTATCCTGGGTTACTATCCCTCCTGGTTATCCTGGGTTAGCATCCCTCCTGGTTATCCTGAATTACACTCCAGGCAGAGGGACTGATCACTTCAAGCTTCACTGTTCTTCTCAGTATTGGACTGAAGAAATCACTGGCTGGAGAAACGTTCCCAAAATCAACATTCCCACATGTTGCCCAAACAGGTAACTGTTATACCACTTGTAGTCTCCGTCTACATGTCACCAGCATCTACGTGCCACCAGCGTCTACATGTGTCACCAGCATCTACGTGTCACCAGCATCTACGTGTCACCAGCATCTACGTGCCACCAGCGTCTACGTGTCACCAGCATCTACGTGCCACCAGCGTCTACATGTGTCACCAGCATCTACGTGTCACCAGCATCTACGTGTCACCAGCGTCTACGTGTCACCAGCATCTACGTGTCACCAGCATCTACGTGTCACCAGCATCTACGTGTCACCAGCGTCTACGTGTCACCAGCGTCTACGTGTCACCAGCATCTACGTGTCACCAGCATCTACGTGTCACCAGCATCTACGTGTCACCAGCATCTACGTGTCACCAGCGTCTACGTGTCACCAGCATCTACGTGTCACCAGCGTCTACGTGTCACCAGCATCTACGTGTCACCAGCATCTACGTGTCACCAGCTCTACGTGTCACCAGCATCTACGTGTCACCAGCATCTACGTGTCCACCTAGCATCTACGTGTCACCAGCATCTACGTGTCACCAGCGTCTACGTGTCACCAGCATCTACGTGTCACCAGCGTCTACGTGTCACCAGCATCTACGTGTCACCAGCATCTACGTGTCACCAGCATCTACGTGTCACCAGCGCCTACATATAATATTAATGTGTCTACTACGAATAGTTAATATTGTTATTAACTTACAGCGCCACCAGAGCTGCTGCTGTTGTTGGCTGTATGGACCAGTGACGGCTTACACCTTGTGACGCACTGCTGCCTTATATACCAGCTTACACCTTGTGACGCACTGCTGCCTTATGTACCAGCTTACACCTTGTGACGCACTGCTGCCTTATGTACCAGCTTACACCTTGTGACGCACTGCTGCCTTATGTACCAGCTTACACCTTGTGACGCACTGCTGCCTTATATACCAGCTTACACCTTGTGACGCACTGCTACCTTAGTAAGTAAGTAAGTAAGTTTATTCAGGTATACACAAATACAGTTACACAGAATATCATACATAGCAGCATATGTGTAGAGAACCTAGGATAACCCAAAAAAGTCAGACAGAGTGACTTATTTCCATTGGGGTCCTTATATACCATTGGGGGCCTTATACACCAGCTTACACCTTGTGACGCACTGCTACCTCATATACCAACTAGTGACAGCTTACACCTTGTGAAGCACTGCTGCCTTATGTACCAACTAGTGACAGCTTGCACCTTGTGAAGCACTGCTGCCTTATGTACCAACTAGTGACAGCTTACACCTTGTGAAGCACTGCTGCCTTATGTACCAACTAGTGACAGCTTACACCTTGTGAAGCACTGCTGCCTTATGTACCAACTAGTGACAGCTTGCACCTTGTGAAGCACTGCTGCCTTATGTACCAACTAGTGACAGCTTGCACCTTGTGAAGCACTGCTGCCTTATGTACCAACTAGTGACAGCTTACACCTTGTGAAGCACTGCTGCCTTGTGTACCAACTAGTGACAGCTTACACCTTGTGAAGCACTGCTGCCTTGTGTACCAACTAGTGACAGCTTACACCTTGTGAAGCACTGCTACTTCATGTACCGAAAAGAAATATTGGCCTGCATGGTACCCCGCTTTGACAAAAAAAAAATGAGACTACAAATCAGACAGAACAAAATGATAAGATTCATCCTGGACCTGAGTCCAAGACACCATGCAGGCCAGGATGAATTACAACAACTGGACCTGAATGCAAGACACCATGCAGGCCAGGAGGATGAATTACAACAACTGGACCTGAGTCCATGACACCATGCAGAGCAGAAGGATGAATTACAACAACTGGATCTGAATGCAAGACACCATGCAGGCCAGGAGGATGAATTACAACAACTGGATCTGAATGCAAGACACCATGCAGGCCAGGAGGATGAATTACAACAACTGGACCTGAGTCCATGACACCATGCAGAGCAGAAGGATGAATTACAACAACTGGATCTGAATGCAAGACACCATGCAGGCCAGGAGGATGAATTACAACAACTGGACCTATCATGACACCAGCAGAGCAAAGGTAATTACAAAAACTGGCCCCCGAGTCCAAGACAAGATGCAGACCAGGATGGATTACAACAACTAAAAAATCCAAGTTTAGTTTAGTTTTGGTAAAACCTTGGAAATAAAAAACCGAAAATTTTGGGTTTAAAGACACAAACAACACTATAAATATTTATTGAAAACGTTGGGCCCTGGCCCTTTGATCACTTCAAACATACAGAGGTAAAAGACATTATTTTTATAGGGGGAGAGGAGAGGACCACGTCCCGGGGTGACCCAGGTCACTGGTAGTGGCACGACGGGAGATCACCGTGTGGTTTCACATACACTGAAGTCCCGCCCGGGTGTTCCCCCATACACTGTGAGACACCGTCGGGGTTCACACTACACTGAGGTCACCGTCGGGGTTTTCACACTATTTGGGATCAAACCCATTCATTTAACGTCTTTTTTTTGTAATGTTTTTTTTTCCTTTTTTTTATCGATTTTTCAAAATTTTATAAGTTAATAAAAAAAAATCGATAAGTATTAATTTTATTTTTTTTTCCCCTACCTACTGACTACTTTATTTTCCCAAATAAATTTTTGGGGGCCCTCCCGGGGGGACCCATTACGTACCTTGTAATCTGAAAATACCTTTGTAATTGTATGATTGGCCAACTTCCCGGGAGTTAAATTTTTTGTAAATTTGAGTTCATTACCTTTGTAAATTGTGAGTTCTTACCTTTGTAAATTGTGGTTCTTACCCTGTAACTTGCTCACATAAAAATTTGGAGTCCATCCCTGGACAATTATGCCCTCTGTAATCTTTTGACTACCCCCACAGGATGGTATGGGGTGCATAATAAACTTTTAAAAATAACAAAACAATAAATTGCTACTATTACTACTAATACTACACTCGTACCCACCATAACACCTCTTTTTCATTATTTGGGCCTTATCTTCAAAAATAAAAAAATAATAATTTAAAATTATTTTATCTTCTTTGCAAATGAATAAAACAAGAAAAACGAAAACTTTAAAAAAAGGGGAAGCCCCTTTCATTAGGGGTTTTGATCCATATGTATCACCGGGGACGTTGAATCTCAGTGTAGTTACGGGTTTCCTTATGTTACCATGTTAAAGCATGTTAATTACCTAAGGAATATTGTTGGTAAGCTTGTATGTTAATAGTAATTGGTTTTTATTAGGTAAAGAAGTGAGGAGAGTATTTACAAATTGATTGAGGTGGTTGATAATGTGAACGTTTGAACAATATTGATGGGGGTAATTTAGGAGATTTGGGGTTGGGTAGGTGTTTAAAGGGTGGTTACGGGAAGTGGTTATGGTGGTTAACAATAGGGCTGATGGTTGACAGGTGATTGGGGGGTTTTTAAAAAGTGATTGAAAGTGACTGACAGTAGAGTGTTTGGATTGATTTTAAGGTGATTGAATGGTTGACAGAAAAGAAAATTTTTTTAAAAATTTTGATAGGTTTATTTCCCTTCGAAAGTAATACTGATACTTTGTTGAGACGTAAACACCTCAACACCTTACTGTCATCCCCCATCAAACCTTACGCAACCATCATTTGTCAACCACCAAAAATCACCCTCTGTCAATCACCACAATCACCTTACTGTCAACCACAATCCCCTTACTGTCATCCCCATCAGACCTGTCAATCACCTTCAATTACCTTCCCCCAACCACAATCCCCTTTACGTCAATCCCCATCAATAATTTGTAAATCACCATCAACCCTTTACGTCAATCACCATCAACATCTTCATCCCATCAATCATTTACTGTCAATGGCCATAAATCCCCTTTATATCAATCACCATCTACTGCAATAAAATCCCCTTTACTGTCAATCTAAATCTCTTGCTGTAAAACCATCGTCAATCACCTTACGCAGTCACCATAAATCGCCTTGTAACATCATCACCTTGCTGTCCCCCATCTTTACCTGTCAATCACCAAAATACCTTGTTGTCAAAACCAAAATTACCTTTAAACACCCACCTTACGTAAACCCCTTACTGTAAACCCACCATCAATCACCTGTCAATCACCAAAATCACCTGTAAACCATAAATTCCCTGCCCAATCCCAAACTACCTTACTGCAACACCTTTACTGTCAACCACCACAGTCCCCTTTTACTTAAATCACCATAAATCCCCTTTACTGTCAACCATCCTGTACTGCAATATCAATAACCTGTCAATCCCCATAAAACCTTACTGGAATTAACCATCACCAACTGTCACCCCCTAAATCACCTTACTGTCAATCCCCCTCAATTACCTGTCATCACCACAATTACCTCCCAAATCACCACAATCCCCTTGCTGCAATCACCATCAATCCCCCCTTTTACCACCCGCCCCCCAATTACCTGTAAATCACCATAAATTCCCTTCAATCACCATAAACCCACCTTACGTCGTCACCTTACTGTAAACCCACCATCGTCACCTACTGTCAATCACCTAAATCCCCTTTACTGCAACCATCACCGACTGTAAATCACCATCAATAACCTTAAACACCCATAAATCCCTTACGGAATTACCTCACCAACTTCAATCACCACCAATCCCCTTTGTGTCCAATCCCAAAATTTACCTGCCAATCCCCATCAACACCTTGCGCAACACCATCAATAACCTTTTCTGTCAACCACCATCAATTACCTGTCAACACCGTCAACCACCTTACTGTCAACCACCTAATCACCTTCTGTCAATTACCATATGTCAACACCAAAAATCCCCTTTTCTGTCAACCATAAATCTTCTTACTGTAACCACCAATCCCCTGTCAGCCAGCATCAATGCCTTGCTGTCAACCACAATCCCCTTTTACTGTAAAACACCATCACACTTTACTCCCCAATCCCATAAATCACCTTTCGTCAACCACCAAAATTTTCCCCTTATGTAACAACCCCCAATCCCCTTACGTAAACTAGCCGTCGCCTTGCTGCAACCTTACTGCAACGACCTATAACTATTAAATCACACCGTCACATAAACCCCACAATGTGGCCCTTTTATAAAATATTTCATGTAAAAATTTTATATAATCAAAAAATTTCAACTCCAAAGGAAAACACATTTTTCGATAATTTTATTTTGTTTTTTTTTCCCCCTATCCACTACTATTACTAACATACTTTTACTAACAAAAAAAACTGTTTACACTACCTTTACATCCCACTTCCTTCTTTTTTTTCCCCCCGTCTTTCCCCCGCCCTGCTTTCCTCTTTAAAAAGATGACCCCTTATCTTTGTGTGTTCAAAATGGATAAAAACTGTACAGTTTCTTCTAGTAGGGTTATTTGTGTTTTGTTCCAGTGGTTTATTCTGCATTTTTTTCTTTTTATAATTTACAAAATAATAATTTACGAACCCCCACCCCTTGCATAATCCTCCCCCGCCACACCACTACACCACCCCACCACACCATCATTTAAACCCTAATTCATCGCCTTATTTTTCACACTTAAAAAATTACTACTCCCCAAAAACCCTCACCCCTAAACCCCCCCCACACACACCCACCACACACACACCACACAACAAAACACACACACACACACACACCACACACCACACACACACCAACTTAGTGTGTGGGGGTAATTGGTGGTTGGGGGTGAGTGTTGTTTCTGGCTGAACCTTTGTGGAACATCCCACAGCAAAACACCAAAATTTGCCCCAGACGAGAGTAGGTTCCCAGCAAGTCTCTGAGGAAGGCACCAGGGGCCCGAGGGAGTAAGTGAGGGGGCCCATGGGGCCAGAGGAGAAGTGAGGAGCACCAGGGGCCAGAGGCGTAAGTGAGGGAGCACCAGGGACCAGGGTAATGAGGGAGGGGACCCGGAACCCAAAGGGAGTGAGGAGGTACCAGGGA